CGAAATAGCAATTTGTTTGTGGTCAGTTTGACAGGTATATCAGGGAGAACATGTTGAAAAATGCAATAAAATATTGCAACTGAATATAACTGGCTAAAATATAGAGCAGCAGTGTGAACACAAATCAAAATGTTTTAAATTCTATTCATGTTTATGCCATGTTTTATATACTGCAGTTTATGTTATCAAGTTAAAATCTCGTTCAGATTTACATCATACCTGTTTTTTTCTAAAGTGTCATACACTCAAAGTATATGTTATCAGTTTATACATTCCCTGGGAATCGAGCCTAACCATTGTTTTGCTATCACCAGGCTGCCAGTAGAGCTATATAGGTCTAAGAAGCAAAGGTCTAAGAAGTACTAACTTGGTTAAAAAGCAGGCCTAGACAAACTCTGTAGATTTTTACATCCTTCCTCTGCTGTTTTTAAGGGAAAAATCTATGTCAGTTCTGCAGAATGAACATGGTGAAATGTGTTAAATTGAGCATAATCAAATTAATAAAAACTATTTAATTAACAAACACACAAGGGGCAGCATAAACTTTTGTACTGTTTGGGGTCAATTTTCTAAAAAAAAAAAAAAAAAACTTTTATCCAGCAAGAATCCAATACATTTATCAAAAGTGTCCTTAAATAAATGTAGAATTTTTCTAAAGAGCGTTTTTATAAATAAATGCTGATCTTTTGAACATTGTTTATTAATGAATCCTGAAAAAATTGTATCACTGTTTCCGTAAAAATATAAAGCAGCACAATGGATCATGTGACACTGACTGGAGTTATGGCGGCTGAAAATTTATCTTTTTATCAAAGGAATAACTTACATTTTAAAGAATATTAAATAGAAAACATTTATTTTAAATTGTTAGACTGCTTCACAAAATTCTTGCTTATACCTTTTTTCCCTTTTTTTGATCAAATTAATGCAAAAAAAAAAGTTTAAAAAACTGACCCCAAACTTTTAAATGTATGCATATAAGGGAGCTACAAAGCTTTCTGCAGAATTTCTTGCTTCGAAATTCCATGTTAGCCTGCTTATGAGACAACGAAATACTTGCACCTATGGATGCTAGGACCAAGGCCACTTCGTTGTGTCTACTTATACCTCCTTCAACTTTGTCACCTCCGGATTTCGTCGTTTCTCGATTCCTCGTCCTCCCTCACATCTTTTCTCACAACTTTTCACACCTGCCCTCTTTCTTTACCTCTTTGTCTCTCTCCAGACATACGCAGCGCTTCGTCCTTCGGTCCTCACCCCTTTTTCTCTCTCTGTGTGTGTATGTGTGTGTCCCCTCTCTTCTCTCTCTTTGCCTGTGGCTGTGTGTCTAGTACCATGGAGCAATTGAAGGTGACAGGGCCAGAGAGAGAGGAGGGGAGAGGGAGGACGTGGCACTCTGTAGCCTGGGGGCACACAACAACACCAATATAATGAATATAAGAAGACAAGTGCTCGGGAACCAAACGGATGACACAGAGTGATGGAGAGACTGTGGGCCTAATGAATTATTTGTAATTTATGCATTAACATCAATGCCTCTGCCGGATTTTGGCGTCACACGCGGGGTATCGAGTACAACACTTGCTCTTTTACCACATATACATGCACTCTCATACATGTATACACATTTTTTTAAGCGCTTGATGTTAATTTGTCCTGGCATTGTTGCTATGGTGACCTCTCTTCCCCCTCCCCCCCCAGCAGAGAGAGAGAGGGTGACAGGGATGAACTAACAAGACACTGAAAAAAATGTGCCCTGAAGGAGCGTACGCTCACACACCAGCACACATAATAAACACACACTCAACGTCACATGTGTGCAACACTCTGACACTAAATATTAACAACGTTTTATTAGGATCCCTTCTCATTTGCTTCACTTTTGTAACTATTTTAAAAAAATAACCCACACGGAGAAAGATGCTCTTCATCTTCCATTGTGTTTCTGTTTAAATCCTCTGTCTGTTTTCCGTGTCACTGTTTTTTTCCGTGCATCCTCTGAACGAGTGACAAAGAGGGAGACATAGGTATGGGGGGAGGATGGGAGAGGAAGAGAGCGGAGAGTTTTGTCAACCGGAAATAAATAAAGCTGGCACCCTCCTTCTCCTCCGCCTCCTCTGTCTCTCTTTCTCGTGCCCTCTGTGTCCCCCTTCCTTGTTTTTTTTTCTACAAGGATACATCCATGGCCTCGTTATGTCTTCCTATTTCTCTTTTTCTGTTTCAGTTCCTTCGCTATCATGCGTGTACCGCAACTGCACGAAACTCCTTGTGTCTTGTTTGTGCCGTGACAGTGTCTGTTGACCTGATGGTGCTTGTCACATTAAAGAGATGGACCTCCCAAAAATGAACGTTCTGTCATCATTTACTCACCCTCATGTCGATCCCGACCTGAGGGATGTCTGGAACACAAAGGAGATGTTTAGCAGAATGCTCGAGCTGCTCTTTTCCATACAATGACTGGTGTGAATGGTGACTAGGGGTCACCAAAAAGTACCATAAAAGTGACATAAGAGTAGTCCACATGACTCCTGCACTATATTCCAAGTCTTCTGAAGTAATACAGTAGCTTTGATCAGACCAATATCATTTTGGAAGCTTGGCAGCTCATTTAGTCACCATTCACTTTCATTAGAAAAGAGCAGTGTGAATATGCTGAATATGTGCTAAACGTTGCGTTCCACAGAAGAAAGAAAGTTTTTTTTATCCGAAAAGGTTTTTGTCCACTTTTTGTCCTTTTCAAAGGCCCTCCTGCCTAAGCTGATATATGTATCATTGGTATGTCTGTTGTAGTAAAAATAAACATGTTTTTTCTTAGCATTTTAAATTAAGATTTTGTTAATATAACTAACTTTTAATAAAGTAATATAACAACTCATTGGGGCCACTTTGAGAGTTTGCTGATGCCCCCTAGTGGGTCCCGGCCCTCTGGTTGAAAACCATTTACCTTAGAGTGAATGCATGAAAAAAAGAAACATATCAGTACACAATAAAATAGCTCATGATTCAAAATGAACCCCTTTGATCCTTCTTCTTACTTCAAAAGTGAGCATAAAGAGGCCTCCTATTTATTTGCTTAAGTTGAACCTTTCATATTAACTAGAACCAAAATGGTCATGCTTGTAAGTATTGTAGTGTTGGCTGAGTCTCCTGTATCAGACCTACAAGTCTCTCTTTCTGTTTTTCTCTCGTATTTTAACGTGTCACAGGTTCTTTGGTTTTTAAAGTTAATCCAATAAAATATGCAAATATAGCATTGGGATTGTCACAAAGTGCAGTGGAGGGTAAACATGCTTTGTGTGTGTGTGTGTGTGTGTGTGTGTGTGTGGGAGGGAGAAGAGAGGCCCTCACACGCAAGTCTGAGAGCGTCTCCTCATGTTTGCATGTAATCGTACTAGCGAGCATGGAACATACAGAGAACAGAGTAATGTGTGAAATTTCTCTTCTCATGAAGATGGTAGTGTCTTGTTTTATAATTTAAGAATATAATGGTCTGTTCATTGAAAGAGCTTTTCAGCACAGCAGCTTCTATATCTATATGATATATGACAAAAAGGTTCTTCTATGGCATCGTGAAGCACCTTTATTTTGGGGTAGCGTGTAGTGGAGTGTTGTGGAGAGTGTAGGCTCCAAGGCCAATTTAAAAGCTTTAAAAATATACTAAAATTATAGTTTAATACTTATGCTCACCAAGGCTGCATTTATTTGATTTAAAATACTGTAAAACAGCAATATAAAAAAAAAAACAGCTTTGACATCACAGGAATAAATGACTTATTAAATAAAACTGAAATCGAAAAATATAATTTAAAATAACTTTTCTATTTCAATGTGTTTTAAAAAGTCATATGACTGCAACGCTGAATTTTCAGCATCATTACTCCAGTCTTCAGTGTCACATGATCTTTCAGAAATCATTCTAATATGCTGATTTGGTGCTCAAGAAAAAGATTTTCGTAATAAAATATCCAAAAACTACTTGCACAGTGTGATATATTTCATGCAGTTGTGCATTTATGTTATACCAAAAGTTCCCAGGGATTTGTACATCCAGAGAAATTCCAATTTTTCGTCCCTGGTCATTGTTGTCTATCAATCCACATATATCCCCAGTTCCCGCTTGTAGAAACTATGGCAACACACGGACACAAATGCTGCTGTACAGGTAAACTAAACCCATTACGGCTGTCGCAAATAAAATGAAAATAAAATGAAAAGTGTTGACCGCAGCATTAAATTTAGATTCTCAATTTAACTCAATTTTGCGCCATGATTTTGACGCGTTTTTACAGTGTTGCGCATTATAACCAATCACACACAAGTCTGTTGAGCTTATGAATGCAATGGCCAATCAGAGGCGATTATCAATTTTGATATTCTTGTGGAAACTGCAACACATTTTTTAATCACTCTTTGACTGATGTGAAGTAGCAAGAAAATATACATCACTGGGGTCAAACAGAACAAAGTTGTTAGTCTGAGATGCATTTGAATATTTTATGATAAATCAAAGGGTTAATGCTTCATTTATGTCAGCATACGACATTTGATGATTTCATAGGAACACATTTGAATTAAGTTAACTTTGAAATGACTTCTCATATACATTTGTGTTGATCACAGCAGTGCAGGGTTAAACTATCACTGACCGCTGGCCATCAGAGCAGGTGCATGATCTGAAGCTGTCTCACAGCTCTTAGGTTAGCCATTTTTGGAAGTCCTTATCTACAAAAAAAGCGAATTGCCTTTGTGATACTTTAGAAATAGCTTTACATCTCCTCTTTTTCAGTAATTTTTTTTTGCCTCCACCTCTCTCTCTCATTTCATCACCCCTTTTCCTGGCATTAAGTCCAGACCTGACACTGACACTGACTCTGTGTGTCATCCCTCTCCCCCCCTCTCTCTCTCTCTCTCTCTCTCTCTCTCTCTCTCTCTCTCTCTCTCTCTTCAACACAGTCTAACATTAACAAAGCAAGAGAACAGAGAGAAGGAGAGAGGGATGAACAGAAAGTGATAGAGACACTGAGCAAGTGTGGACCACTTTTACAATTCATTCATCTACCAGGTGAGTCTCCTGCCTTCACTGCCGACACAGCGACTGAGACATTAACAGATTCATGACTCTTTTATTGGAAAAACAAAATAGATTTGGGGAAAAATTACTGGTTAATTGTGGAAAGGTTATGGAAGACTTGACCTTTGACATTTTCTGTTTTGTATAGGCTACAACAATATGTTGTGTTACACCACCAAAGGCAACGTTTAAATAATTTAAATGTGCTTGTATTTGTCTTTGCTTGAGAGTCATACAAAGTCATATTTAATTAATTGAACTAGTTCATTTCAATTAGTGCAAAACCTTTTCACATTTTTACGTCTATATACGTGTCAGCATTATTTTATTATTTATTTATTGATTTACTATTATACTTTATAAATTCATTGTATATTTTATTATATACATAAGTCAGCATGTATTGTATATAAAAGAAGCCTTTGTATATGGATTGTATCAATATTTAACTGTTCATTTCCTGGGCATATCTGAGCTCTAATAATGTTTATTATTATTACATATGTATTGTAATAATAATATATATTACATTTTATTTTTTGGAAATATACACTAATAAATACAGTTGAAATGCAATTTTTTCTTGCACCCTAATCTGTGTTGTTCCGCCACATGTCACTTCTCTATATTTTGTTTCTCCTTCTGTTCTAGATCATTCTTTGCCTTTGAGGGCCATGGTTTACTCTCAAAACCAATGCGAATATTATTATACAAGCACTTCTAGGTTATTTAAATGGCTAGATCTATAGTATTCATGACGACGGCCTCCTTTCCATGTATGTTAGTAGTTTTACATGTAGAACTATCAGTGGAACCAGTGATATTTTTTTCTAACTCTTCAGCAGCATTTATTCATTTAGCTGAACACTGCTCTATAAATTATGCGCAGGTGCTGGCTTTTTTGTGTGACTTAAATACACTTGCATTTTGGTTGGTGGCTTCATGCCTCCATTTTTGTACTGAGTTTTGTTGTGTAGTCAGTTTGTAGTCGGAAACGTGGATTGTGTGCAGTGTATCTATAATTATCTCTTTGTTTTGTTGGAGTGTGTGTCTCTCTGTTGTGTAGCATGTGTGTGTGTCTGTGTGTATTGTTGTTAACATTAGCTGACAGTATTACTCTCTCCAGTCAACCGTGTGTGTACGACGAAGTCAGACTAGATGTTCTGTACTTCTTAATTACTCCCTGTAAGTGTGTGTGTGTGTGGGGGGGGAGGTTAATGTATGGTTGTGTGTATGTATGATCCAGTCAGCCGTGTGTGTGCGACGAAGTCAGTCTAGATGTTCTGTACTTCTTAATTACTCCCTGTAAGTGTGTGTGTGTGTCTGGGGGGGGAGGTTAATGTATGGTTGTGTGTATGTATGAAAGATACATAGAGAGATAGATAGATAAAGAGAGTTTACGATGCAATAGTAACATACTTTAAAGACATCAGATGGGTCATTCATGCTAGTTTGATCTAGTTTGATGCGACAATTTTAATTACATTTTTGCTTTTCCACGACATTCTAATTTATTGAGATGCACCTGTAATTTTTTAAGTGTTAAGAAATTGCATTGTGTCATCTCAAGAAAAATTACTACATTTTAATAAATGCTGGATGTAGCTATTCCTTCAGAAAGGTAACCGGGTGGATTTTTAACATATAACCACTTTGAAATGTTTTAAAGTCAAATGTTTACTATAGAAAATCACGAAAACAGGGTTGACATTTTAAGATATACATAAAACATAAGATAAATGGATAACAGTAAATGGACTTTAACTTGTCATTGGAGAGTTAACTTCTGAAAGGACAATGATGTCATTATGACAAATATGCAATAGTTCATTATTTTAAAAAGGGATAAACATGATAATAACAGGGTTGGCACAAAACTAAAATCTAGGTTTTTACTAAAATGCTAGCTTTTGTTTCCATATTTTTTGTTTTCCAAAAAAAGGTCATAGTTGTTAGTATACTATAGCAGGGAGATGTTGGAAACAAAGACTGAAGGAAGGCCAAAAAAATTGATCATTATAGAAAATTAAAACATAAAAAAGTTTTAAAAGATGAATAACGAAATGTTACCTGATGTGTTTACTGTTAAGTGAAATTATTAATAATTTAATAAATTAAATTAAATGATATTCTCTGTTAGAAAACATCAACATGATCAGCTAATCAAAGCCATGGAAATGCAATACTAAATTGGTGACACAACATAGGCCTAAAGAATGAAATACAATAGCCATTTACTGCACATAAATACTGAATTTATTGTATTTGATTTTTCCGATGACCTTTTTTCACAGTTTTACCTCTTCCGTCCTTCATTCAGGGTTGGAGTGGTCTGGATGATAGAAGGAGAGGGTCAGTGTTTTCTCACAGGTGGCATTTGATGTATGACAATCTGACCATGCTGAACTTACAAAACGGCTCCAACTGGACTGGCCCAAACAACTGGTACCACCCGGCCGACACCATCACTCCTCAACACGGAACAGGTACGTGAGTGTTACTGAGTGATATCTGTATGTATTAGTAAAGCACCTCTGTGTGTGAATGTACGCTGTATGTGTGCTTGTGTTTGTGAAGTCAGCTGTGGGGTGAACCAGCAATTCTTATACTTGACTGAGCACAAACAGAGGGTGCCAACAGCTACACCATCAGCCACGCATGTACACCCACATACAAACACGGCCGTCTCTGGCCTTGACATCCTCTGTTTCATTACAGGAGGCGGAACTAAAGCGAGCAGACATTAGACACAGAATTAGATGCCCATAATACAGTTGCTGCTTATTCACACGTATGCAAATAAGGTCAAACTGTCAAACACAAGATGCTGCAGCGTACTAGAATTACACGGTCTTCAAAGAGACAGTTCTGTCTATATAATAACACATATTGGCACACTGAAACGCAGCACTCTTACAAGACTCTCTGAAGTTTAATGGGGTATTTTTCTCTCAGATGGTTGCGTGGACGATCTGAATGTGCAGATGGCCGGAGCAGGGGAAGGAGTGGTGCAGGGAGAGAGGGATGAGGTGGACGAGTCGCAGCTACACCTGCAGCTAAAGAGGAAGCTGCAGAGGAACCGCACCAGCTTCACCCAGGAGCAGATAGATGCCCTGGAGAAAGGTGTGACTCAAAGCGCTGGCTTGCACTGAGCTTTCCATGCAAAATAATCTCAGTCCTAGAGAGGATGTATTTGTGTGGGATTGTTTTTGCTTTTTGCGTTTGGGAAAGACGGATCTTTTTCATATTCTGCCACATTCCTTTTCTTATACTTTCATGTACATTATACATTTTGCGTACATTTTTTTCTCATCCTCATGTTGTTTCAAACCTGAATAACAGTTGTTGTTACTGTTACTATCCTCTTGTGTTCTCTCATATAAGGCTCAATGCACAGTCAGAGTGATTCGTCTCTCTCAGGCTATAGCTCTCTGTCGGTCTTCTCCAGTATGCAGGTAAATCATGATGACCTTCCCTTGCTGTATACCATATTATCTTGATAGGCAAGATGTCTGACCAAATGGACATGTAATTCTACATCAGTACTGAATAATGTACCCAGTAATTTTAAAGTTTTGACTTATAATACTGACACCTAGTGGCGCGCAAAAGCAAAAGTTTGATGTTGCAAATACCTACCAACATTCTTCAAAATAACTTCGAGCTCCACTTAAGTCATACAGGTTTTGAACGGCGCGAGAGGGAAAAATAATGACTACTAATATTTAATTTTGGGGTGAAATATCCGTTTAAAGCTCCAGTCAGGCACGAGTCACCGGGTTGTGTACAGGTTCCGTTTACAAATCTCACAAACTAAAGACCGTTCGAATTTAGAATCCTCCACTAAATTAACTCACTGAATTAGTGAAGGCGATTTATTTTTTATAACAATACAAAACGATTTCTGGGTGCATAAAACGGTGATATCTGTTTGTGGGGAAACTGTTTTAAAGTACAGTCGGCTACTGTATGCAAAATAAACTATTTATTCTATCGAAGACAATATTTGTTTTTAATGTCTTAATTAAAAAATGATGCCCTCTCAAACATAACAGCATGCGACTTTGTTTCTAAGACCCTCAGATTTCTACCCCACACTCAATTCCCATGACACACACGTGAAAAATCAGTAATATTAAACACATCACTCCATGTGGACACGCAGTACAAGGTACCATGGCCAACCCCTCCCACCTAAATCCAC